AAAAAAAAAAAAAAAAAAAGCTGCAAGCCAGCTACCTGACTCCCGGAACTTGTATATACGAATATGGTTGTGTGCGAGGCGAAGCCATTCGCGGCGTTCCCGGACCTTGAGAACGACTTCAAGAAGGACCTTCCTTTGGTGCATGCATGCATGAAAGTGCAAGCGAGCGTGCACACGGGTGTTTCGTGACTGCAGAAACTGTGCACTTCGAGAGGCCGATCTCTTTCGACTGCGGATGCTTGGATTCGGGTGGAAGCGGGGAGTCAGGACAAGCTGCTGCAGAGTCGCTACGGCGTCTGTGTGGAGGAGTGCCCCAAGCAGCACCTTGGCTGATGCCCTTATGCTTCTCATCGTCTTACATTGTCTTGACGCCTTGAAAAGTAGAAACAGGCCTTCATTGAACAGGAGGTATGGAATTCTTTGAGAGATCCGGTGAGGAAGGAAGTTCTCCAACTCTGGTCTAAGATCGACTCAGGTTTTTCTTTGCTAGCTGCACTAGCTGCCATTCGCCAGAACTAGCAGTAGACCATCACACCGAGGTTTCAGACCATCCCGGACTACGAGGGTGATCTGACGCCTGGGATTGCATAGATTCACAGATCCCCGCGCGTGATTTTCGGAGGGTCCCCGGTCGGACGGCGAGTGAGACAAAGCTGCGGCTGGGGATGTCGGCAGATAGGAATGCAGGAGGTGAGGCCTGCTTAACAGCCTCCGTGCGATGTTGGGTGTTTATGCTGGCAGTTCCTGAAACAGACCCGCCATGCCATGTCAGATGACGGAGTCTCGGGGGTTGGAACTCAGGAAGGAGGGCGGCCAGGCTTTGCGGAAGGAGAAGGACTCTCTGCTGTGGACCCGCGGACAGCAAATAAAACTTCGTTTGAAAAGGTGGGTGGCTTTCGCAAGGAAGGGGCTGTGCGTGCTGTAGAACTTCAGGTGCTCTTTTTTTGCGGTGCTTGTACTCTTGATGTCGAATCCAGATGTGGAGATTCTTTCTTTTGATCATTGCGAAGGACGCCTCCGCATAGAGTCGCTCTATGGTTCTGTGATTTATGTTGTTCCTCCCTAGTGAGCTCGCTTGACACTTTTGTTCTGGCTGTCAACTGCATTCTATGCTGGGCATTCTGCCGCTTCGAGAATGCCAGCAGTCCCGAAGATCTTCATCTTCGGTCGGATGCCCTCTTTGACCCAGCTTTGCCGCAATCTACTTCATCGGTAATCTCTGTGTGTGTGTGTGTATGTATGTATGTATGTATGTATGTATGTATGTATGTATGTATGTATGTATGCATGTATGTATGTATGTATGTACGTGCGTATGTATGGATGGACGGATGGATGGAGGATGGATGTATGCATGTAATGTATGTATCTGTGTGTGTGTCGGGATGGATGGCGGATGGATGGATGCATGGAATGGAAGGATGGAAGGATGGAAGCATGGAAAGAAGGATGGATGGATGGATGCAGATGTGGATGGATATATACATCTACACAGAGAGAGATATACAGATATACATATACACACATACACATACAAAGATAGCATATGCATTTGCATATATGTGTGTATGTGTGGAAAGATAAGTCGTAAGTCGCATGCACAAATGCGCTGGATATCAAGATAATGTTAATGTGTGTATGCATGCCGAGTCTCATTGGTTTGTCTGGCCACAGTGTTTCATCACGTGACTGTGGCCGAGGTACATCTCGTTGCCCACCACCCCCATCGCCGGTAGGTGACCGGGCGCAGCCAGAGTAGAAGCTTTCCAGGGGAGGTTCGTGTTGGGCGGAAGCCGGCTTCCCGGCTCTCTTTGTTTCGTGAGTGTTAGTCCCCGACAGGCAAAGCCGGGAAATGCGCTAGCAGGTTTGGCCACATGTGGAAGATCACCCACAAATCGCCAAGTGGTCATGTGAGCCATGTACCTCTCCAGCAAGCTTGAAGAGCATGCCTTCAACAACACGAATCGACTCTCCATCGGGTACCCAGCTTCTTCATCCGCCTTTCCGTTGTTTGGAGCCTACTGAATGAAGAGTAGGTTGAACACCCGGCGAGGCGTGCGGCATTCGAGAAGCCAGCATGTGAAAAAGCCTTCGTCTCGAGTTTTCTGTCGCGCTCTCGTCTGCCCCAGGTGCATACCGTACGATCCGCCACCGGAATTCACGGGGGCCGTGGAGCTCCTGAGCTCTGCAACAAGGAAAGAGCCCGATCTTCGTCTGTTGTCGTCTGAGAGCTGCCATGATTCTGACTATGTGAGGGCTTTTTTGGGATTCTGCAAGCTGTTCCTGGTGATGCCTTACTTCACCTCCGTCGAAACGAAGCGAGCTCAGCATCCCTCCTCGCAGAATCCCCGTTCTTCTGCTCTGAGGTTCTGCGCGGACCCACCATGCCTTGCGAAAGATGGAGTGAATCTTTGCGACAAACTGCGAAGAGTCATGAAAGATACCGGCTGATGGATGCCTTCAATGATTACAGGGTTTATATTCAACTCTTGAAGTCTGAGAATGGAATGCCGAGACGTGGAAAGATTGGAGCATACCACTGGTACCACAATGGTAGCTGCATTCGGATTGTCTGAGTGGAGTTTCGACCGTTGTGCGTAGGATGCTTTCCTCCTTTCTGTGAGCTCAGGCCCGAGAGCTATCGGGAAGTCTGCGGTTTGCACAAGGACAAGACGGATCGCTTCTGGCTTCTGTCGAAGGCTCACGGCCGGAAAGCACATGTCCAATTGGCAGGGCCCGATGTTCCGAAGGGTTGCGGACCTGGTTGGCTTCGTATTGTCTGCGTGGGTGTGCATCGGGGCTTTCTCGTAAAGCAGGGAAGTATCACCACGACCAAAAAGATTCGTTCGACAGGTTCGAGCTTCTGAAATGCACAGCGCTGCATGTGTCCAGCAGCTGGTGCACAACCCACGGCTGAACTTTGTCCAGATGGGCGCCACAGACATCTTGCGCGAAGCCAGGAGGTGGACGACATCCTCGAAGACGGTTGGAAGAGGGAGGGTGCGGATGACCAGGTCGCTTTGTGGTGTACTCGGGGATTCTGATGGCTGAAGGCTAAGTGGCATTGACAGGTTTTGGGGGTTCTCTTTTTCGAAACTTGTAGCCTCCGAGAACTGAGTCTACGAATCTAAGTTGAGACATCCTGCAGTGGGCGACTCCTGCGAACACCTTCCGACGCCCTTAGAGTCAGCTGCCTTGTGGCGTGTCTTTGTCTCTTCCGGTTGCCTTTTCTTATCGGGCTTCCAGCTCGTCGAGCTTAGAGAGGTAATTAGCTTGCCACTGCCACCGCGCAGAGACATGTCATGGCATGAAGTTTGATTGAGTTGAGCGCCCCAGAGTCAGTTTCTGCAATTCTGGTTCACTGTCAAAGTGCAGCACAAGTCCTCCAGACCCTAGCTTTGATCCGCCCTGGCAGGGGACTTCCCAGCCGAGTTTAGAATCCCCCCCCCCCCCCCGGAGCATGGCTTCCGATGTGCCTCCGCCATGGCGGGATGGCAGTGATGGCGGCGGAGGCAGCAGCGGGGGCAATTGATGAACCTGAATGTAGTAGCAGGTGGTTCTTACTAGTAAAAAAATAAACCCGAAGCATTATATTCACCGTAATCACCTTGCAGTCGCTCAAGGCCCTAAACCTTCAATGGTTCCACTTGCCTGCGGCTTGGGAAGCTCGCGCCGGGGTCATCCCCCTCCCCCCCCTCCTGCCTGTGAACTCCTTGACCGCTGCCCATCTCCTGGGCGAGGCGGACGACATGAAGCGTCTACAGAGACACCTTCAACTATCGGCGTAAAGGAAGAGAAAGCAAAGAACCCTAAACTCGACTTCAACCACGCCGAGTTGCTGAGAGTTTAAAATAGTCTTGTTTCAAGCCTGTTTCCTTGTTTGAAGGGCTTCTGCGGCTCGCCCAAGCTGCCGTGCCCAAGGAGGTCCAGGACGTCCTGTTGAGTGCCGAATCCAAACCTCTCTCGCTTTCTTGGGAGTTAGGGGTCAAGCGCTTCAGGGCTTTCATTGCAGGAGCTGGGGGCCGGCGGGGACTGGGGCAGTGTTTTTTGCTGTTTGGGCTTCCAACATCCAAGTTTAGGGGGGGTATACTCAGAGGAGGGAAAGAGGTTCCCGGAAGGCAAAAAGAAAGGAACCGCTGCAGTTGAGGGTCGGTGAAGGACGTCCTGGGAGCTCGCCTGGGGGCTGGCAGTGACGGCGGCTGGGTCTGGAATTGAGAGGCCAAGACCTTGATGTCAGTGTGAACCCTGCGACTGAGACCAGAGCCCTTTTGAATTTGGAGTGATGCAAGCTGAAAGCTTGAGTAAGATAGCCCGCGGCTGTTATGACCTGAGCGCCCTGTGCATGCATCCCTAAACCCAGCAGCCGAGGAGTGCTGGAGCTGCTGCAAGCTTTAGCCTCGCCGCCTTCCAGCGTTTCAATCCGACTTCCGCTTTCAGCCGGAGAGGTGGAGGCCTCCAGCTACGATCCCTGCTTTCGCTGTTGCACTGGGATCTCCAGGTTAAGCACAATCCTCACAAGCATGTGGGATCATAGGCCATAGGCCAAGGCCAAAACCGGGACGTCTTGGAGCTCTTTGGGATTGCAGGCCCATCTTCGGCAGTGCCTGGCAGCTGTGGGCCGCCAAGCAGGTTGCGACTTTGCCTTGGAGGACGTGCCTGCCCCAATCCTCTGTCCAGAGGCGCGGACCCTGGGCCGTGTTTGCAATAGCTTTTTGTCAGAAAACGCCAGTCACGGCGCGATAGTCTCTTCAATTTCTCCCGTGCGCCCAAAACCAGACGAGGACCATTGTTGGCCGCAGCGCTGTCTCTGCAACTGGAGGGTATCTGAAATCTGAAGATCAGACACGTCCTTCGGCAGATTCCCTCTCCGCATCGGTCTCCGCCGATGTCATTATTGACGCTGCTTGCGCCATGGCCGTTCTGAGAGGTGCCGACGTTTTCTGTGCCTCGACCCGAGTGGCTGATACCGTTTTTGGATTTTGGTTTTCCTGCCGAATAATTGTTCCACGCCCTTAGAAGGCATGGGGGTCATGGCAGCAACGCCCAAGCCAGTGGAGGGTCATCTGGTCCGGCTTTGGGTGGTGCCAGAGGGCGTGAAGCCGCCTAACCGTGGGGCCATCTTGCAGGAGCGGTCATCCTTCCAGGGGTTCTTGCAATGCATCTAGGAATGCTCGGATTTTGCCTCCGTGGGCCCTTCAGGAGTCCCCTGAGAAATGGCCGGCAGTGCTGGTGGCCGGGGGGCGTCTGATGATGTCTCGCCTCGCCATCTTCACTCCGGGGACCAAGGGCACCGCTGTGAGCGTCTTGTGGCGGCGGGGAGTCGCACATGCTTTGGCTCCCATGAACGCGGTCCTATCAGATCCGCAGCTGGATGGCAAGGTCCTGCTGCAACAGCTTCCGAGTTGTCTCTGTGTCCGTGTGCTGGACCCATGTCCTGGGAACAGAGTGCTGGACATGTGCGCGGCACCCGGCGGGAAGACGACGCATCTGGCGGCAACTCTCCAGGGTCAGGGCCAGGGCCTCACGGCCATCGACCGCTCCCGGGCCAAGGTGCGGCGCGTGGAGGCGCTCTGCGCTGCCCACGGCTTTGGGAAGGTCCGGTGCCTGGCCGCTGATTCCCGGCACCTCTGCAACGAAGCCGCAGTGGGCAGAAAGCCGCGCTCCAAAGTGGCCCCCGCCGAGGCTTCTTCCCAAACTGAAACTGCGGTTTCTCCGGATCGGGACCTCGAGGAGCCCTGGCCTCCCGAGGCCGAGGAAGCCTTTCAACGGGCCTTCGCAGAGCACCACGCGGATCGCTTTCGCAGCACCAAGCGGATCTGGAAGGCGGTGATCACCGCGTGCGGCCGGGGGCCCGTCTCAAGGATGCAGGCGGCGGTCTTAAAACCCACGGATATCTAGCCTTAATCTTTCCAATCTGTAAAAATCAGCCGTGTGTCCCCGCAACCGGACCCTTTTTTCAACGTAGTTGCTGGAGGTTTGTTGCTCGTTGGGACAGCTTGCAGAGGTGGATGCACGGCTTCGCCGGCTGGAGGGTCGAAATCCGAGGGCAGAGATGGAGGTCCCAGACCAAGAGGCCAGAAGGGAAGCCCGGTCTTGAAGGGGCGTCCAAGTGCTAATGAGGTGTGGTTTGTGTTGAGGATTTGCCCGCAAAAAGCCGAAGCGCTGATTATTTCTTCCAGTGTAACTACTTGAGTTTTCTTCAATTGGTTGTCTCCGATCTTTTTCACATCCCCACAAGGCCCCTGAAGTTTAGGGGGGCCCTGGCTCGTCCCTCATGCCCTGGAGAAGAAGACGGAGAAAGGCAGATAGAGAGAGAAAGAGAGAGCGAGAGAGAGAGAGAGAGAGAGAGAGGGACGGAGAGAGAGCGAGGGGAGATGCGGGGGAGGGGGACGGAGGGAGTTAGCTTTCGGATTATCGAGGCAACGCCGTCACAGGGTGGGCAAATTCAAGGAACAAAGGCCTGATGCATCAACGTTCAAAGTCAGAAGGGATGTTCAATTGCTTCGTCAATATGACGGGTAAAGCTTTGCTTTGGGGCTTCCGTTCATTAGAAGTTACCGGGTCTATGGGCTTGTGAAAGTTGGCATGGAAAAGGCCCCATGTCCGATTTTGGGCCTTAAGAAAGACGCCATCGTTGCAGAAGGATGGACCATCAACAACCAAACTCAAAGGCCTCCCAGAAGGCCTGCTTCAACCTTCAGGGTTTCGGCGCAGAGGCTGATGGTCCGCCCTTTCCGGAAGGCTCCTTTGACGCTTGGCAAATGACAATAGGTATCGATATGCATCGGCATACGTAGCTGCAAGTCGTAGGTGTACCTTCATTCTTTAGCAGCACCAAAATCCCCCGAGTCCATCACTTGCACCCTGTAGACTCTGAGTCGCTCCTTCGGCCGAAAGATGAGAGTTTGGAGACTTTTGGCAGCCACAGGATAGAGTCCCCACGTCACATTCGACGCTCCAGCCCAAGGACAAGATCCTGTTGGATCCTTCGTGCTCGGCGATGGGGCAGCGCCCCCTCTTGCGCTGGGGAATCAGCGCAGAGGAGGCCGGATCTGAGTCGAGGGTTAGAGTCCTGTTTTGCAGGCTTGCGCAGTAGGCCAGTAACTTTCAGACTTGCACATCCCGCTAATTCCCCGATGCACGTAATTGGCCTAGACTTCACAGACGTTGTGTGTGCGGGTTCGAGTGGATTCCGAGAGCCCTCGTTTCCTCAATGGTGCCAAGAACCTCCAGGTCCGGAGCCACAGCGACTACCAGAAGCAGTTCCTCCGCACAGCCGTTCGGCTCTTGGCCGTGGGAGGCGCGCATGGCCGCATGTAAGGTCCTGTACCAGGGGCCAGGGGCTCGGGCTAGCAATCAACCCTAAAGCCCTAAAGCCAGCAACAGAGACGTGGGCAGGTGAGATGGTGTACAGCACATGCACTCTCACGCCGGAGGAGAATGAGGAGAACGTGCATTGGGCACTACAAACCCTGCCGGTGGAGCTTCTGGATGCCAGGGAGAAGGCGTCTGCAAGCAACAACTCCCCACCTCCTTAGCCCAGGCTTGGATTTTCGGTCTCACATAGGCAACTGTGGCGGCGGTGATATGGTTGTCTGCCTGCATGGGCTGCGTTGCAGACGAGAGCTACGTTTTTTTCCGTCTGCCCTCCCTACCAACAGTGAACTCGCAAAGGTCTTTCATTCTGCGGAACGGGGCAGCACCGTCCTGGCTGGACTTCCACACTGCGGCCTCACGGAGAGCCTCGGGTGTGTAGCCAGTTGGTTGCCTTTTCTTGTGGGAAGGGGAGGGGGTGGCTCGACATCTCAAGCACGTGCATCGGCATAGGCAGGCAAAGAGCCAGCATCATCGGCATAAGGAGTTCGGGCGAAGGGGCAACCCATGTGGTGGCCGCGGCACGCGGCAAGCTGTTACTCAAGACCAAACTTTATGTCTTTCGAGTAACGCTCAGTTGGGATGCTTTCATCCGTCTTGGCGGATGCTAGACCCAGTCTTCCGGTCTCTGGTGACAGGAGAGGAGGTCCCATTGTCTAAGCTTCGAAACGAACAGGCCTCAGCGGTAATGCATGCAGTGCTTGAAAGAGTGCGGTTTAACAGTGTAAGTGTGCGGCCAAGGACTGAGCGGCTGCAAGTGCTGCGATTCGATCCTCGCGCATGGGATGCAGGCAGGCTGTTTTTGGTAATCTCGTGTTTCTCGGTCAAGCTTGGGTTGATGTGTGGTCAGGTGGGCGGTCGGTTTGCGCAGATTCAGCTGGGTGTCTCAGGGCGGTTTGGCAAGATTACGGGATGGCCAAAGCTGATCGCCAGCTTTTTGGTTGGTTCCTGGCCGTCACGCTTTTTTGTCGCTTTGGAAGCAGCACATGAAAGCACATGGGCCGCTCCAGGTTTCTTCATTTCGAAATTCCGGAAAGTGGCGGCGAAGACGACCAGCAGCGCGCCAACGGAAGAGCGGACGCCGCAAAGTGCCGGCTAAAAAAGACTTCCTTCTTTGCGCTGTGTTGCAGAGCTTTGGTGCTTCGGTGAAGCTGAGATCCCCCGCTGCATGTGTTGTGCAGCTTTCTAGGAAAACCAACAACTTCTGAACTTCCCATGCCTCCCTACGTGCATGGCCTCCGGATGTTTGTAGCTCATGCTCATAGAAGACTCTGTCCCGGACCCGGCCGAAGATGACAGAGGACTCCCGCCCTAGCAATTCAGGCGGAAGTTCGCTTCAGACGTCGTAGGCTCGTACAGTGCCAACCAAGAAGCCAGGTGGTGGCCGCAAGGGTTCGCTTGGCTGCGCAGGACAAGACGGAGCCCTGCCCCGCGGGCTTAAAGGGAGCTTCGGGGAGCTCTGGTTATAGGGCAGATAGGCGGTGGAGTGGGTGCTTCCTTCACATGGATGCCTACCTGCAGATTCAGGGTGGCCTTCAGGATCATGGACAAGACCGAAGCTATAAATGCTATGAATTTAGATGGTCAGGATCTGGAACGCATTGTAAAGCGGAGGCGCAGGGAGAGGTGCAGCCATGTGTAGCTTGCGCAGCCCAGGCAAAGTGAAAGTCTACCGGGACACTCGCGTGCAAACTGCGCCAGTGGATTCCAGCCTCACTTACAGCATCCTGGCTACGGTTTGGCTTGTGAACATCGTGTACAAGAGATCGGCTGAGAATGCAGTCGGCAGGTTGTAATTCAGAAGGGGTTCACTGCTTTCCAGGCTGGCTGCGCTTTCAGTTGGTGCATGGGCTAAGTGGCTATAAGCGCTCGTTTCCAAGAGGAAGATTCCGAAAGTAGGCAGGAACCACGAACGTGTCATGATCCGCTCCGCAAGGAGTGTGGATTTTCAGTAGTTTAAAGCAGGTCCACTCTTACTTGAAGCGACTGTGTTGAAGCACTGCCGTTCGCGATGGTTTTTGAGGCCGCATGTCTGCTGCAGGCCTTCTTACCAAGTACACGGGCCAGATCTTCGTGTGGTGGCTGGGCAGTGTTCGGATTGAGGAGTCAGACGTCATAGGCCCGCTGACCAAGCTGATCCAATGCAGACTCGCAGATTTCCTGACGTACCCCTCTAGCGAGGTCCAGCCCGGGTAAAGCTTTGAACCCACGCCGCAACAACGCACCGCAGATTGCACGTTCGGGAGCACTTTTCCAGGCTACATAAGAAGGGCATGAACCAACCAGTCGCAGATGGTCCGGTGGCAGACCTGACGGTTGAGAGCCCACGTGTCTGGACTGTTGCAACTTACCGCACCTCCCAGTCTCAGAAATCTGTACTTGGCACTTCCTAAAGCCAAGGGCAAGACCCAAAGAGAAGCCGCCCGAGCTTAGGTGCAAACGGATCTATGAGAATCGATGGCCGCTTGGCGTTCTCTGTTCATCCTGGGGCTGTCGAGGCAAGAGCTACCCTACAAGAACTTGCGTCCATTACTTCTCAAACTGACGTCCCACAGTAGAGTCGTTGAGAAGTTTTGGAGTGCAGGGGGCATGCCATGTCGTTCCATTGCTAAATAGAAAGCAAACGCAGTCGATTCCGCACTTGTTTGCGTGCGAGAGCCTTCGGCAATCGGGCATCCGAGGCTTGTGCTTGGCCTGGGCATCGGGGGGTCGCTGGTACTCTCGATGGTGTTGGCCCCGGAGAATGGAGTGTGCTCCAGCTTTGTGTGAGTTTCTGCTTCGCAGCCAACTTTGCGGGAACTTGAAACTGGCCTCTCCAAGGCTATCATCATGGGCTTCGCATGCTGCACCTCGGTGGAAACCGAAGCCTTGATATGTCAGGCCAGGGCATCTTGCACTAAGATCCCGCGAGTGTTTCTGCTGAGGCGTGGGCCTCGTCGTGACGCTTGATAGCAGCTGCAAGCAGTGCATGACTTCAGCCACACCTGTGCTGTACCAGTGTTGCTCGCATTGCCTGACATCGTTCGGTTGTTATCAACATGGCTGCGGCTATTGACACTTGGCAACATCATGGACCTTATGTTGTTGTGTCTCTGGTTCTTCCAAGATCCTTTTGCATGTTGGTGGTCAGCATTCCAACATACGGTTGTGGTTGTGGTCGTGGTCGTGGTCGTGGTTGTGGTTGTGGTTGTTGTTGTTGCTGTTGCTGTTGCTGTTGCTGTTGCTGTTGCTGTTGCTGTTGCTGTTGCTGTTGTTGTCGTTGCTGGTGGTGGTGGCGGGGGTGGGGGTGGCGGCGGCGGTGGTGGTGGTGGTGGTGGTGGTGGTGGTGGTGGTGGTGGTGTTGCTGCTGCTGTTGCTGCTGCTGCTGCTGCTGCTGCTTATGGTTGTGGCTCTGATTCCGATCCCGTCGGTGTACGTGATCATGGCTCATGGTCGTGGGCCGCGTTGCCTCCTGCCGTATAATCTGATGGTAATCTGATGGTCGTGCTCGTCTTGCCGTGTAGGCAAACATGCTGCAAGTCTTCACTACGACCTTGGCTCTGTTCGTTGTTGTTGCAGGCACGTCTCTTAGCTTTTTGGGGCGATTTTCAATGATGCCCATGATCGCCACTATGACACTATGATTATGGTCATGCTCAGTTCTGTTATAGCTGTTTGTGCTGTTTGCCTACGGCCTACAGAAGTCGGTGTTGTTTATATTCATGTTGTCGATGGTGTTGCTCCTGCAGTTGTCATTGCCGACGTTGTTGTTATTGCTGCTTCGCGAATGCTCTGCTCCGTTTTGGTATGCCCAATGCATCGTCCTAGTAGGGCCCTGCTAAAAGTGTCGCCTGAGGCATGTGCTCATCGCGCTGCTTTTCGCAGTCTTGATTTGTGCGGACTACGTCTTGTTCCGCCAGGCCCAGGGCAGAGCAGTTCGTCTCTGAGAGAAGTTGGGGCAGAAATTTCACCATAGCCCGTCGGAGGCAGGCCTCGTCACTGGGCGGACAGGGAAGATGATCCTCGATATGCTCCAGAAAGTCACTGAATGGGACATGCCAGCAGAGCCACATGCCTGCGGTGTTCATAGGATCTTTGCCTACGTTGACGCCGGGTCGGGCGAAGAAGAGGAGGTGGTGGAGGTTAAAGCTCAGCATAGGATGCCAAAAGCGCTGTGAGCACTTGTTCAAGACCGCGACGGCCCGTGTTTGAGGTTGGGATCGTTGATCCAGGACTCGACGCAGGATGAGCAGATGCGTGAAGTGTACAAGTGGCCGCTCGGCTTTGTGCTGCACCCGCCGGGCTTCGTCTCAGTTTCTCTAAGACCGGTCCTTAAATGCAACATCGCCATCTGCGAAGTCGAAACCCCTAAGTTTAAAGTTTACATTGACTCCAGGTCGGCCGTTGGACTGTTGCTCTGCATTCTACTGCTCGCCTGCGCGGCTCTGGCAGCTCGAGAAGCCTGGACCATGATGTAAAGGAAGTTTCTGAAAAGCGAAGGCGGGGTTTTGATGATGCAAAGATCCTCAACAAGCCAACTAGCTGTAATCGTCCAAATCCAAACCCTAAATGGAAGCTGCCTGCCTCATGCGAGTGTGAGAGTCGAAGAAACCACAGTGCACAACGAATCCAATAGTAGGGTCCGGCTTATTGAACACCCCATGGCCGAGAATCGGCTTGGGACACCTTCTAGCCTTCCAGTCCCGCGGCAGTCCTAAAAGAATGACCTGAGGCTCGGAGCGATACTTTAAAATGCTTCGGGAGCTCTCAAGGGATGGTATGAGGCCACTGTGCCAAAAATGAGCGGCTCTACCTTGACTCCGAATCCTGCCAAGAAAAACCTCCAAATCCTCGTCGCGTTGCTGAAGGAGGCCTCCAACACGATGCGCCCCTTGGGCTCAGGAAGGTTCTCCATGCGAGTAAGAGGATCCAGAGGTGTAGATGTCAGGTAATAAGATAAGGTCTGATATGAATATGGGGTCGTTGCGATAATACTTATTATATGTACGGTGCAGTTTCATGGCATGTTTTGCATACGCAGTATCAAGCTGTGCGGGCTATGGCTTTTCATGGTTGTACTGTTCTATCTGAAGAGGCGCCGATAGCACCCCCAGGTCCCAGGCCCAGAAGGCTGGATCCTTCGCCACAGGCGAGATGCCCTCGTTGCTCCTGGCCCCCTTCATGCTGGCCTTGAGCATGATCTTCATGTCGGTGGTCATGCTCTGGGTGCTTGGCTGACTTGGAGGAGGGTGCTTTCCGAAAGAGCACAGCCTCTTGAGGTACCTGGCAGTGACTTGTAGTGTCCTCCCAGGTTTCGCTGGCCTTCGCCACAGCCAACGCTTCCGACATCCCTCGGACCACGGAGGCGATGATCAGCGACAGGGGTGTGCGAGGGTTCGGAGTCGCTGTGCAAAGTGCAAATTTACATTCGTTTTTTTTCAGCGGCCGCTTGCTTCGTGGCCTGGTCGGCAATCAATAATTGGGGAGGCGTGAAGACGCACGAGAACCGAGTGTGGGATGTTCTGCCTTCGCACACGAGAGTCGGGCCGTTTGCAGGAGAAGTGTCGCCCTTGAGCGACCTAGTGTATGCAATGACGCTTGAGCAAGTACAGTAGGACCCGACTCAGACCAATGAATCCAAAGAAGCTTCTGGCAGGCCTGGCACCTTTACATCTACCCTGCACTGAAGGCGAGGCTAACTACCAGGGATTTGCAGAAGTGAAAACAGGTTCCGGCGCGTTCCTGGGGGCAGGTCTAGAATCTTGGAAGATGATGGAATGCAGGAAGCAGTCTATCAGCTTACACAGGCTCGGCCAGGAAAGCAAAAGCAGTTCGAACCGCAGTTCCTTTTCTGTTCTACTTCTGCTGAGCTTGGTACAACATGTCGGATGAGCCACTCCGATTGCCTTTCTTGCAACAGCTGCTTGCTAGAGCGCGAGAATGTACAGGAGCAACACCTGGCTGAGCTGCGTAGAAAGGCATTGCTCAGTGATGAGGAAGCATGGTGTGTCTGTGGGCGTTGACTCATGTCCAGGTTCAGTTTTCTTTTCCTGGCTTCAGGGTTGTGACATGCACCCATTTGCCCCAATGCTGAGAAGTGCCTTGCACTGGAACTTCGACCCAGCACTTCGGTGCGGAAACGCTCGCAACTGCGCCCAGGCTGCCGGCCTAGCACAGGCAAACGAAATGACACAGATGCGCCAGCTCTTCGGCAGCAATTGCGGGTTACGGGTTTTCGCTGTTCAGGGTAAGTGCCCGAAGGGGTGCAGATCATCAAGAGGTTTGAAGTCTGTGTCGTACGGTTCTTCCCACCACGAACATGAAGCATCTGCGAACGGGCCGGGCCGCATCCAAGGGTCGCCCTGTTCGCATCTGACTCCTTGTCCCAATCCGCAACTTCCAGGACGGCCCTGGTCTTCAACCTCTTCGTGCCTCTTGGCAGAAATCCTTTGCACACGAGCTCCAGGAGTCAAGGAAACTTTGGAGCCGTGGCCTGACTGCCTTGCCAGAGTGACTTATGATGCAGGCCCAGCAGACCTGTGAGGATCCAAGCGCCTTGGGCACGACTTGCTTGGCCCAACTTTCCTAGTCGAGGTTCCTTTTCATCTACCATTTCCACGTGTCCCTCTGCATTGCCATCACAGCCATGTGCGTCTCTCACTGGTGGCTGGGCTTGCAACAGCCTTGGAGCGACACGAAGTTTTGTTTTCTGGGGGCCGAAGGCCGTGGGAGGGGGTGGCGGGAGTCTCGCCCTCGCCCTCACATTTCAATCCCGGACTTCGAGAGGCGTAAGTTTCCCGGTCTTCCAAGCCAAGCGCATCCGCAGGTAGAGCGGAATGCGGGCACAGGACGGGTCCCGTCACCCAGTTTTCCTCTCTGCTTCTCGCTCCTCCACAGCCTCGCCTCAGGAGTGAACTCGGAAGGATGGTTCTTCGGCCGCCCCTGGCCCGGTCTTTTAGGATCCGGGGAAACCTACTTGTAGCGAGAAGATGGTGCCTGATACTTGTTCCGAAGGTTGCATTCCTGAAGCACAGACCTCTTGCAGCGTCATGAACGGCTGTCGCCTGTAGAGTGAATTCAGAGACAGAGCGGGCAAGAGCATAGCAAAGGCCCTATCCTCTTGGCCTTCTTGCGCCTTTGTCGACACCATCTTGGCTCGCTGGTCTTTGGCTCCTGTCACCGGGCATGTCAGAGCGGACATCGCAAAGTGTGAAGATGCCCAGGGCGATACCTACACTATAGAAGCCCTACAGAGGAAACCTGGAAGCCGAGCCGGCATGCCAGCAGTCAAAGGTATCATGGCCATTGCTACAGCGCTCCGCATCTCGGCATGCAGAGCCCAACGGCTCCAGTGATCCTTGCTCACTCGCCCTTCCCCTGGATCCGCATGCTTGCCTTGGTGTTTGCCCATCGACAAGATAGGTTTTCTCTTTTGGCCATTGCCGGGCCCAAGAGTGTTCTTGCGCGGCCCAGCGGAGAGTGTCTCCTTACATGTCCTCGCCTGCTGCATCAAAGGACTTATCTTTGAGTACGTCGCCGCGAAAACGAAAGACCAGGAGCAGTGTTGAACAAAGTTTCGTCGGATGGTCAGGGATCCCATGTTGCGTGGACAGGTGTTCCTTTCCTGGACCTCGACCCTGAGCCCTTCTTGAACGCCTAGAGCTTCTAACAGCTTCTAACACCAAACTTCGAGCCATCTGCTCATCCACGTTGCTTAACGTGCCAGACGGAGCATAAGTCCTCCCCAACGGCGGTGCTCCTGCAGCTGACAAGCAGCCGGGCACGGAGGAGTCAAACCCGGTGGTGCGCGCTGCCGTTTGTGCGTGCCGCTGCTGCCTGTGGTGTCTGGAGCGGTGCCTACAGTTCATCACCGAGTATGCATACGTCCCAGCCTTGGGACCCGTTCACGTTTGTCAAGCCAAGCATCTATGGTACAGACGGAAATGCGGGGCTGCTGGGGGTTAGTGATGCCAACTTCAGGTTCGGCGCTAAAGCGCTATGTTGTAGCAACAACATCCACTCCCCCCGGCCGCCCCACGAGGTCTATGTGGCAGTGACTGGCAAGACTTTCTGCTCCTCTGCTCATGCGTCTTTCGTTTTCTTCGCCAAGTACCCAGTGTCTTCGTCAGAATTATTCAGAATTCTCGGCTGCTTCGATTCTAAGCGAGCTACGGCAGCTTTGCCGTTGAGGAACCTGTACCTGTGGCATGCGCACTTCGGGCATGGGTTTCCTATGAGCCAGCCACAGGTGCAAACCGCGATGGACAAGATGGCGTCTGCAGTCTCTCGACACGGAAGCTTCTTTCCGAATCGTTAGGGGTACTTCGTGGCGCAAGTGTGCCTTTCGGCCCGCAAAAGCTCGGAGATGAAGACACCTTGGTGCCGGAGATGTGCAACAGAAGATCTCCGCCGGATAACCGACGGAATTTTTGCTTGCAGATCTCCCTGTCTAGCTTGAACAGCACGCGGAAATACCAGAGGCAAGCAAAGGAAGAGCATCTTCAGGTTAATGCCTCTAAGAGGGAAGAACGGCATAGCTGCTCCCCATCCAAGACTTTACTCCATCTTTCGCCTCCGGACCCCTTCACTGAGGCCTTGGGCTACCTGCTCTGTGTGACCGTCCCTCTGGGCCTGGCCGTGGTCGCCTTCCCATGGCTGTCGGAGGCCGCTGCCGCAGGGGTCCCTGTCCGTCAGAATTAGCACGTGGTGGGTAAGTGTATCACGGCAGGTTGGTGAGGGGGCTGAAGCAGCCTCGGAAACTTTCAAAGCTCCGTCTTCCTGCGCTGTCGCAGGGGTCCTGGCCGCCCTGTGCCATTGTTATCATAGCCCTTGCGTATGCCTCTCGGCAGCATCTTACGGCCTTCAGGGCGGGTCTGCGCAACCCGAGAGGGATGGTGATGACTGCAACCGTGCTCCTGGCGCGAGGTTACGACTCGCCTGGCGGCTGGAATCTACGATGTGTGCATTACGACTTTGTTCGTCTGTGTGATGCGCGACTGCGAACATTACGATGGCCGCTTCTAGGCGACATCTCGAGCCATGGGATGGACTGAAACGCATGTTTGCTGGACTTGTGATGTGGGCATGTCGCCAGTAGGGAACTTGTCAGTCTCGGCAACAATAAAGTATCAATAAAGCTTCCGTCAAGATTCGGGCTCTGTAGCCTGACAGCAGCACTTCCCGTTTTGCAGTAGCACACGGTCACGCCCACGTAATAAAGGCTTTAAATAGAGTTCGGTTCCATCAACAGGACAGGATCCCAGAAATCTCACTGAATGAGCTTCGAAGCAAGGCTACATGAGCAAAACTCTCCGGAGCGCTTGCGGCTTCGGCGAGCTCGCTCGCCAGAGCCTGGCGGCGCGTCAGTCGGCCGTCGATGGCATCGAGCTACAGTGACCAAAAGTGTGACTGCGTCGTCTGTTTGGGCATTGCAAGGTTTGCTGCTGACGTTGGTGTTGGCACTGATGACGATGCCGATGAAGGTCTGTCACGTTTCTGCTGCTGCTGCTGCTGATCAGGGTGTTGCGAAAAAGTGGTGACGCTAATTCTGATGCGAACAACAACCTCATCATCGCCGCCAAACCGGAGATGAAGACGTCCGTTCCGTTCCCCCAAGTGCAAATCACACGAGCCTGCTGCAAAGAGGCGTTTGAGGAAAGAGTGTTTGATGTTGCTTTCGTATCCTGCTGGACGCCGGCACCTAGAGGTTTCACCTCCCTTCGCAGGCTTTGTGCTTCACCGGTGGCCAACAAGCTCTTCTCCCGCGCGATCATTATGAGCCTGGTGCTTACTTCGCGATGGCGTGTTTCAGATGCCTTCCTATCGGCGAGTTATGCGAAATCAGATACAAGTACTTAATCACAAGTCTCGCGATGTGTAACGAGGTTTTCAATGAGACTCGAAATCCAGTGTAGCCGTGGTTTCCCACCTTGGGCGGATCTCACTGCACAAGTGCTCTTCCAGGCCCGGCATCATTTACTATCACTCCAGAGCAGGCTGGACACCTTGTGGGTGCTTGGGTGGAGCCCCATGTCTGCTTTGGGCCCAAGGCTTCCGGAAGAGAAGAAAACAACCCATGTATCCTAGAGTTGTCGGGTCCTAGAGGGGCCTTAAAAAGGAGCCCTTAAAAGGGGCCCCTAACCCCGAAATGCTGGAGGCAAAAACCCTACGCAAGCAATGCTAGACTTGGAAGTGCATCAGGCCGAGGAGTTGGCAGGCGAGTTTGCGAAGAACGCGGGCGCCCCTCAGCCCGAAGAAGCTCCCCCGGTTGCCAGAAACATCAAGGATGGTCCTTTCTTCAATGCACGCAAGAGACCGCCACATAGAAGCCCCGATCTGTGGGGATTCGGAGCACTTTCAGTTTGCGCCGAGTCGATGACCCTGGGGCTACCTGATTGGGAACGGGCCTCACCCCTGGGCTAGCGGCTACTAGGCCCTTTCGAACTGTGCTGGGGTCTAGCCGTTAACTTGTGTATTCGCGTTATGTTGACATTGCGTTCTTGTGACAGTGACTTCTTGGAGCCCACCTCACCTGGCAAGTCCGAGAGCTTCTACACACCTCGACTCCCATGCTGGAGCCCTCGGCCCAAATAATTGAAACTGGTATCCCAACGGTCGAATGATGGAACCTGATGGGCCGGCGGATGGGCGTACTGTTCGCTTAGCCACTGGTCGCAGAGGGAGTCAGCTGTCGTGCTTGGCCCCAACAAAGCCGCAATCTCGGAGTCGAGAACCTGAATGACGTAAAGCCTTCGCTCCCAACACCTGTATACGTAGGCCTGTAGGTAAGGACTCTAAGCCGCAGCGACTGCGGCACGACTGGTTGACCCGAGGCAAAGTCCGCAGGCCTCGCGGACATGCAAGATCTGTCGATGGAGGCGGCGCAAGAAAACAACAGTGGTGTTTAGGTCAACGTGGTTCGCATGGCATAGAATATGGCGATGGTCCGAGTCATGATAATATGCCTTGTGGAATGGTGCTACTTTCGTGTTGCCCATTTTGGATTCTAGATGGTTTGAAGTTCAAGTGTTTTTTGGCTTTGCCCACTTGTTTATTGTTTACGTTTTTTTTCGAAGTGTTTCCTGTTAGACCACCTGGTTGGCTTGTCAATCAGCCAGGGGTATTGGTGTTTGCAGTTGCCGTTTGTCCTAACTTGTTGGAAGTGTCACGTTTGGGATGCATCTGCCGATGTCGGAGGTGCCGGAATCCGATACATGAATCGCCACTTTGCCCATCGCCTCGGGTTCAACTTCTTGTTCGTTTATGCCATTTTCACGACTAGCACCATGCCTCCCATCCTTCCTGCACAGAGCCCTGAGTTGCTCAGTGTCAGGTGGTTCTGAAAACCCAGCTTGAGGGATCCTACCGCAGCCCGGATGCAGCAGAAGAGGTTACTCAAGGAAGACCAGCTAGATTCCAAGATCCCCTTTGACCTGTTTCCACAGGGGGGCGGGGGCGCTGTCTCTTGGAGTCCCAAGCTCGCCCGGCTGTGTTCGAAGCCAGTTCGTCGGTTCCATGGAGTGGTGACGGTCCATCCCAGCAGAAGTGAGCCTGGAGCCGAGAAGTTGCGAATTGCTGCCCAGGCATCTTCCCGACCACCGGGCCGGGTTGGCGCGAGCTCATGGCTGGTGGGTTGGGGTCTCAGAGCCCGGGCCTTTGGCTTCGTTTTGGGCTGCTTTGGGTTTTGATGTGGAGCTAGGCCCGCTTCGCTCGAAGCCTCTGGAAGTCATGCCAAAGATTAAAGATTGCAAAAGGTGCCAAGTCAGACTCACAGTCTACTGTAGAGTCTCTAACGGACCCTAACAGTCCCAGAGTGACAGAACTCTCAAAGCAGGAAGGATGGCCTTATTTGGGCTTGACAAGGTCCTTGCCTGATGTGGACCCCGAGCCTGCTGGGGACTAAGGCTGTGAGGGCTGGCAGCGGGATGTGATGTGGGCTTGTTAGACGTTGTGCACTCGGTGTAGCGCTGTGGGCTCAGGAACGCGGCGACCGGCGTAGGTTAGCGGCCACAGTCGTTCCAGACATGTTGAAAGGATTGTCAGCGCACAGCCGGTGCGAAGTAAATGCCCTTCCACCGGCATTTCTGCTCCACGAATCCACCCGAGCACATGCTGAAGGATTCGAAGCTGAAAGCCCAAGCCCAAGCCAGAGCTCCTCAGCTTCTGCCCAAAGACTCGAACACTCAGCACAGATTTAGGGAAGGCAGCCCAAAGCTTCTCACATGTCGCATGGAGGGAGGATCCGGGTGAATGGCGGTGCTGCTGCCACTGCCCTTGGGCGACAAGCCCCTTCGGCGGGTTGCGGCCAGCGGTGGGTGCGCCCTCAGCGTCCGGTGAACCCTTCGGGTTCTAATTCCCTCCGACTCAGCATCAGATGATATCTCAAGGCTCTAAGCCAGAGGCAGCCCCCCGGTCCCCTGCACACTCAGATGATCAATGCACATCCTGCCGACATGGGCTCACAGCTCAGTCAGTGGCTTCGTGGTAGCTTCAGCAAGTAGAATCAGACATTGGGCCGAACCGTCAAAACCACCTCATTTCCTGTTGGAGGTTCAGGTAGTTCTCAGACCCTCAGACACAACACCTGCTGAACGCCGAGCGGCGAAGGCCGAAGAGGTGCGGAGGCGATCTCGGGGCTCGAGGTTTCAGCTTCCGAAGGCTGAAGAAGGGCTTCTTGCAGGGCAGGGCAATGCCTTGCATTGGCTCTGGGCACCTGAGGGCACCTGTGCTTCTCATCGGTGCCGGTTGTGGTGATCACGGTGATAGTGTTGGTGAATGTTGGTGATGACCATGTCCCTGCAATGTCCATGGTAGTGGTTGTGATGACTGGTGGTGGCGGTGGTGCCGGTATTGGCAGCAGTCGTCGTCGTCGTCGTCGTGGTGATGACTGAACAATGCTCGTCTGGCTTCCGCCTGGCCAAGACCTGATGCGCCGCCACACCAAAGCAGATTTGAGTGGGCCTAGTAGATTCCCTGCAATGTGCTTCCCAGGCCTGAACCCGCAGCGTGAAGGAACCGCGATCACTCTGCCAAAGCCTCCCGAAAGCGCCAAGCGAGCCCCAAGCTTTGCAATCCAGACATGCAGGCGACATGGCATTCTTCCGATGTGGGCTGTGGCTGGCCGCCTTCTGCTGGCTAGTCCGAGGGTTTGCCAAGCACTCAGTATGTTGGGCACCCTAAGGGGTCGAGCCTGCGTTGCACACGGTACACGGCGGTACAGTGTATCCTGACGAAAGTCAGCATCAAAGCAGGCCCTATAATTTGAGAAGTGGGAGAAGCGTAGCAACATAATGTAGCAACTTTGCTGGTTGCATCACTGGACCTACAGTCCGAAGGATGGCCTCATGCCGGGATCGCAAGCTCAGCTCTTCGGTCCTGCGAGCCCTGGCGAGGACTTCCCAAGACCCACCGTGGCGCCGAATCAAAAGCCCAAGACCGAAGAGCAGCTGTGGATGGACGAGCCTTGTCTGATCAGAGCAATCAGTACTAGTGAGGATTTGCAGAGGTATCCTGGGCCACTGTAGTTCTGAATCCCAATAGCTCTTCTTCCATCTACCTACGGGATCTTTCTTAAGATTTCTGCGGTATAACAGGGTGTGCAGCATCCACCGCGAGGAGGCTCTGAACCATCCGGGAGTCCCGAGGAGCATTGGCCCGGCTACGAGAACGGCGTGAACCTGGGAGGAAGCTTTGTCATTGAGAACTGGATGTCTCCTGGCTTGGAGGGCCTCTCTCACCCCATGCAAGAGGGGATCTTCAAGAAGGATTCTAGTTTTGACTGGAACTAATTTTGAGGGCCGTGCCGAGGATTACTCGGTTTTGTTTCACCACGCCCCCGGGGCGTTGGCAGCATATGCCACTGAAGTAGCAGTGCGGGACTCACTCACAACAGGGAAGAGGGCGGCTGCTAAACGCCGAAAGGCCCGAGCGGTTACAACCAGAAACCGCATCAACCGCAAGACTGAGCACACGCACACACACACACACATGTGGTTTGTATGTCTTATGTATGTATACATATTTACACACAAGTAAATGCGTTCTTGCATCCTGAGTTTTAGTGTCATTACAGGCTAACCCTGCAGTTGAATCCATGTCGATATGCACATATATTCATATTTTGCCGTGTACCTACTCGTGCGCACCTTCGTGTGCGTACTTAATGCAAGACAAGCAGACAGCAGGCTGGCAGTGAGAATGACGAGTTGAGCCCAACATCCGGCCCCAAGCCTTTTCTGCAGGTTCATGCGGAGTAAGCCCCCCTTCGACGACGCCTTCCTTCAGCTGGACTATTCCAAGATTCCGAGGCATTTCGGCTTGATTTTCAGACGCGAGTGGTGCGTTTACAGAAGCGTGATTCGGGTCAACGATGTGATGCGATCCTAGCCGCCTGGGAT